TGGCAACTTCAGACGCTGAGAGGCGAACACAAGTCCTTGGCACATGGGCCATGCAGCAGGGCGTCCCTCCCTCAGCCATGGTGCAGGACTGGCCAGCAGACGAGGATGCACGCCGAGTCCCCAGGCCCCTCGCCTCCTGCATCCCGGCGGAGAGGGTGAGGGCCGGGCGGGTGGTTCCACCATGGCCTGGTCTCAGTGACCCCTCAGACGAGCAAGGGCACCTATGGGGAGACAGAGCCCCGTTACTCAGGGATCGGTGGGAAGCCGAGGCCAGGCGTCCACGAGCTGCAGACCTGCCCTTGCGACGTCTCCGTCCTGACACACCGAGGCGTCACCCCGGCCCCAAGCTACTCAGCGCCGCCGCACAGATGGGCTCGCGAGCTCCGCTGCTGCCCTCGCAGAGGAAGCGGGGCCCTCGGGGTCTGCGGCGCACCTGCGGGACCCCGCTGCCCGCCGGCTCGCCATTCCCCCAGGGCCGCAGCGGCTGCGGGCTCCGGCCGTCCCTGCCTCTCCCCAGGGGCCGGGCCTTTCCCCACCCGAGGCCACTGTCAGGGACATGCCTGTCCTTCAGGGACACGACTGGTCCTTCGGGAACAGGCACTGGGCCTCCTCGGGAAGGGCTCTCCTCACCCCGTCCTCGGCTGGCCCGTCTCTGCCATGAGAGTGCTCTCCCTCTGCCATGCTCTTGGTCACCCCGGCCTGCCACGGTGTCCCCACGGGCCCGTGTCCCTCACCGCTGCGTCCCCGGGGATAGACCTTCCTGGGTGCCGGGTCTGTGGCAGGGAGGAGCAGACGCACGCTCACAGGTGACCCCCCCACGGGACGCGAAAGCTCCGTTTCCACTCCGGGCTCAGCCCCCCACCTTCCGTGACAGCCCGACGGCGGGAAGTTCTATGTGCAGGATTTCGAGGGTCCATTTCAGTGCCTCTAAAGGCAAAGGTAACAGCGTTTTAAGAAAAGTGGCGGATCCGTGTGCAGGGAGCGCTGGCCTTGACACCGCCGCCCTACGGCACTCGGCACGCGTGGCGAGGGGGCCGGCGCTCGGGCACCCTGCTCTGCTCGCTTAGCAGCGTGATATAGGGGTGGACGTCCGAGCACAGGAAGACATGTGCTGCTGGCGGCCACCGCCAAGCATCAGGCACTGGACGAGTCTCAGCTCATCTGACCCTCCGCTCAGCCAAAAACAAGCGAAGCGGAACCCGCTATGATCATCCCGGGTGTCGCCTCCCACAGGAGGATGAGAAAGCGGGGTCCGCAGAGGGTAACCTGCCCCCGATCAAATATTCATGAGCAACAATCCCCGTGGGGCCCTCTGAGCAGAGAAAACAGCCCGGCCTGCCGCCCGCACGCCCCGGCCGCCCTGCCTTTGCCCGGACGAGACATCGGCCTCTGGACGGTGTGGGGTCCGCCCAGGGTGTGAGCTCTGGAAACGCGAGGTCATTGGACTAACTCCTGGGGCCGCAGTGCAGGCCTGGGCAGAGGAAGAAGTGCCCAAAGGGCCTGTGAAGCGAGGCCTGTGAAGCGAGGCAGGGGACAACCCCGAGGTGGACACAGCCGCCGTCAACACTGCTAAGAGGCCCAGGAGGGTCCCCAAAGGCGGGAGACACAAAGGGACTCGTTTTTACGGAGTACGTTGGTTACATTTTCAAAGAATAGGCTCGACACATCTGTCTTCACATTCCAGGCACCACGAGAGGCTCCAGTGCCGTGACCAACAGCAGCAAGGCCAGGAGCTGCCCGGCCTGCGGGGACCTCCGGGGCCGTGCCTCGCGGAGAAGCGGCGCGGGGGCAGCCTTCTCAGGAAAATGCAGCTGGCGGCTGACCCGCACACGTGTCCCCTGGTGCCGCACCCGCGAGGAAGGCAAGCCACACAGGACACCTCCAGGAAAACAGCTGGTTCCTGGACGCCAGCTTGGCCCGGCCGCACCCGCATGTCGCCGACGGCGGCTCAGCCCGGGCTGCGGGTGGGCGGCCGCCCGGTCCCTGGCCGCCTCCGTCACCGCTGCTGCAGCGGCTTCTACCTGATTCTGAGAGGCTGAGTCTAGTGGGGAGAAGGTACGGGCTCGGCACATGGTGACGGCCCCGTGCGTCCGTCCTGGGGCCCCACATAAGATGCAGCACATCTGAGCCGAGCAGTGACGAAGGCCGAAAGGACACGGTCTCCCAGGTCACACGCGTCCTGGTCCCTCAGGCCCGGCTTTTAGCCTCAGGGTGTCGTGTAAAAGCTCAGATGCAACACGTAAATATTTACTTTCCAGGATGGAGCAGGCAGGTCACAACACTTAACTAACCCAAGAAGCAGTCGAAATGGGGGCTTTCGGATGCCGCTCACAGCAGCGCTCAGAGCTGAGGGTGAGCAAGAGCCGCCAGGACTGGACCGCGGCCGGGACTGGACGGCCCCGCCCACGCCGGCCTCCCTGCTGCCGGCCCGGCGTCCAGACACGCACGTGCCCCCTGCGTCATCGCCACACGCCCAGCTGGCCCCGTCTGGCCCTGGCCTGCTCTGCCGCTGCCCGAGCTTGCTTTCTCAAAGCACGAAACGCTTCCTCCGTTCTTTTAGACAATTCCCAAACTTCTCTCTCTCTCTGGAAGGCACGGGCGCGTGCTCTCAGGGCGGGAAAGCCCGAGGCTTAAGTTCGCAGGCACGTCCTGGCTGTGTGACCTGGGGCAGGCTTTGGCCTCGCCGGGCCCCCTGCCCCTGGTGACTCCTGCACGGTGGAGCGAGGGATGTCCACTTTGCAAAGACCCCAAACCAGTCCGCGAGGGGACGGGTGTGAGAGGCGAGCACGGGCCGCGCTCGCGGCCACGTTCGGTGTTATGCAGGGGACGTCCGCGGCTCAAACGACAGACCCGAACGCAAAGTCGTTCGCTCGGTGTCTGAAAACCGCAGTCTGTGGGCTTCAACTCCCCCACGTCTGACCCTGGGTGTAGACAGCCCGTGGGTTTTCCTCTGAGGAACACTGTCTGACAAACGGAGACACGTCCCCGGCCTCAGCGGGCCCCCCGGGGCCGACCCCTCCCACGTCGCCTCGGGCTCTGCGGCCAGGGCTCCCAGCTGGACATCGTGGCATGTCCAGAGGACAGAGCTGGTCTCGGGGCTGAACGGACGGCTCTGTCCCCTTCGGAAATCACATGCTCTACGTTCCTGGATCCTTATTTAGCCATTCACCCCAAGTTCTCCGCTCTCCCTCGTTCTACGTAATGTAAGTGGTACGTTTGTCAGTATATAAACTCCGCGGAAATGAAAAGAAACATAAAAAAGCCCAAGGCCTCCACAACTCTTAGCTGCTCCCCCCGACCCCCCTCCCCTCGCCGCAGAGAGCGTGTGGAGCCTGCCCGTGCCATCCGGTCAAGGACGCTGCTTCTTCCAGCGTCCTGAGATGGCTACCATCCTCGCTGCGTGACACTTCAGGTCCCAGTGAGGGCCACACACGGCTATGACCTCCTCACTGTCACACTGGACAAGGTCTGGGGGCCCGAGCCTGGCAATGCCCCATGGGAGCTCCTGTTAGCAGGCGTCCAGGACGTTCTGTACAGGGGGCACTGCTGGCCACCTCTGACTCGGCGAGGACTGCCTTTCAGGCCATGTGGCGTCCTCCCCCCAGCTCTGCTGCCACCGGCTCCTGCGTGGGGAACAGGAGCACGAGCTGCCTCGTCAGCAGGGCCGGTGGCCCCGTGTGAGCCCAGCCCGCCCGCCAGAGCACACAGCAGTGGTCACCTGCTTACAGGGACGTCCTGTGCCTGCCCTGACCCCTGTCTGAGTCCCAGCGACTCAGGTAATCCGAGCCTGTTTGCTTTACACGGAAAATGAGAGGCACTTGGTAGTGACCTGTCCGGACGCCTGTGAAACGTAAGCTTAGGATCTGGAAATGACCTCTCAGAAGGTGAATCGCGTAACTCCCCAGACCCAGCGGGGGTGGGCGGGGACGGAGGACACACAGATCGCAGAGGCCACTGGCCCGAGTGTCCTTCAACTCGGGAGCCTCGCTGCCGGGGCCGCAAAGTGCTTGCGGGGACCCGGCCGGCGAGCGGACAGCATGGGCCATGCAGGGTGCCCGGTGCCCGGGGGCTGCAGACCCGACCGCGTCAAACGTCAGGCTGGGGGACGACGGACAGAACAGAAAGAAGCCGTGCGGGCATGTTTTTCTTAAATTGTACATTATAAATTAATGAATGCAATCTTATGGTGAAGTTAAGGAAGTATGTTTTAGCTCGCTATAGTACTGTTTCACAGGATGGAGTACATTAACATGTAAGATTCTTCTATCCCAAGGGATTTTTCTAATTTCAAATTTAACACAACAAATTCTCAATGAAACTACACAGAAAGACATGAAGATATCTGAAAAGATCATCTTTTTAAACTTGTTGGTCATGGATAACAAGCACATATTTGACAGTGATGTTCAATGTAAATATGAAACACTCTTGATATGTTAGAATTGCTTCAGTAAATATCTAACAAAGAGATAACAAAAAAATCTATTTTAAAACCTCAGGTTTAATTTTTTTTTTCCTTTTGTCCTAAATTCAAAAACTAAAATTATACAAATTTTAATCTGGAGAATAAAGTTATATGCAAATATATAGGTATATGCATTTTTTTCCAGTGACACACTTTTCCTCTTGTAGTCAAATAGAAATTTCGCCTAAGAAGCATACTGTCAGTGTTACAGGAAACCAGATGCAGTGACTTGACACTGATAGCTCCTACTTCTCCAGGATAATGCACCAGAACAGATCTCCATTGTGAACAGCTTTCAAGA